AGAATGGGGAATTCACAGTATATACATTTTAAACTGCTTTGCTTCTTTAGATATGTGAATATAATATTTACTTAGTGATACAAAACTATGTTTAAATGCAATGATATGTAAAAGTAGGAACACTTTTAAAAGTCTGTGTTCTTAGCAACAACACTCTACTGCCTTCCACTCAAAAGAGTTACTGCAATTTGGACTACAAGGCCAAAATAATATAAACTAAGGCAGAATTCTCCCTCTATACAAGGGTTTTACAGGGAGTAGGGGAAGGGGATGAGGGAGCTGAGAGGATGAGGGAGAGGAGTGTTAACAAAAATCAGGGGTGGGAATGATGGGCCCAGTATATGAAAGGAGATATTTCTAAGTAAAGCTGTTTCAAGAAACAAGATACTAAACAAGAACCCCAGTGCCAGATGTAGGAATCCTCCATAGGAGTTTGTTGGTCAGGATAGCCCCCAGAGCCCTCAAAATACAAGCTTTTGCTTTTTTGGCATGGCTGTCTACTATAACTCTATTGTTGAAGATATCACATGTCATGGATGCAAGGAATTGAGGAAATTATCCAGAATTGAGGTACTAGCTAACTTCCAAAGTATCAGAAAGTACTATGTAGGCTTCTAGTATTACCCAGGAAAAAACTCTATAAACTGCAACACAAATCTACTGGGCAAAAATGTACCTACTTGTACAGTGATGGCAGACCATTGTAGGGGTAACCAGCTACTCTTGACTTAGATACAAGCCTTGCTCCACAGAAGAATCCTATGCCGGGTGCCGTAAGCTAGGCTTAAAAAATCTATGTGTTACACACTCCTACACCCATAGATAAATGCATCAGTCAACCCTCATTAGAGAAGCTTCTTCTTGCAGTAGATAGGAATTAACATGGAGACCCACAACCGGAAAATGTGCAGAGAGTAAGGGACTTTGGAACTACCAGTTCTAAAGAACATGGCTTCATCAACTTCCCACTCTTGCCCTCATGGCTCAGGGAGCTATGAGGAAGAGGTGACAAGGCCTGTGATAATCAGAGGTTATGGGTGACTCCAATGAAACAGTGTATACCAGAAACAACGAAACTGTACATATGAACTCACGGACATTACACAGGCACAAGACAGATGGGTCATAGCACTGAGGGGGAAATGGACTTAGGGTGTGACCCCTAACCCAGAAGCTATTTGCAAACAATACCCATTGACAAAGGGAAAATCAGTTTTGTCCTATGGATAACACACACATGTGTGCCACCACCCACCACCACCAACAACAACAACAAAATACCCAAGAAACAACAACAAAACCCTCTACATTTTTTGAGGAGTTTTTGTTTTATTTTGTTTTGATATTTTGTTTTATTTTCATTTTTCTGTGTGGGTAGGGGTAAAGAGGTTCTATGAAGAGTTGGGGGAGGAGAAAGTATGATCAAAATATATTGCATAAGAAACTTTAATAAGTAAAGACATCCTTAGAGTTTCCTAGAACATATGAAGGAAATTACTGTTGATTGTTAGCTAAGTAGACAAAATGTCAATGTACCTTTTAAATATCTGTTTATACTCTTACACTAAGGCTATTCACAACCCTAATAAGAGAAGCATATTTGCAGTGAATGCATAGACTCATGGCCAGCCAAGATGCTGAGAATAGAAAGAGGGCTTGGCCCTAAGCAAGTCATTTATCCTAATCCTTGTGAGCCTCAGGGAACAATGCAGAAGATGGGGATGAAAGGCGTGTAAGAGCTGAAAGCTAGGGAAGGGCAAGCATAATTCCATCCTCTAGACACAGTATTCACAATGTGTTCATAACTCCAAGCAGTTGATATTACATGCACAAGACAATGCTCAACTGTCAGTCATGGACTGGGGAGGGGTTTCAGGGGTTGTATTACTTACTGCTGAATTGTGAGCCGCTGACAGCCTGCCTTCAGTTGAGTAACCACTGGTGTACTCACCACACTCAGTTGGATAGTTCCAATCCCAAAGTTACACAGAAAGCCCTGGCAAAAACCCAGAGGAACACAAACAAATGCGAAGACATAAACATGGGAAAGAAATTACCCAGAAGGAGTTTTGCAGGGAAGAGAGAATGATGGGAAACAGTAGGAGTGAGAACAATCAGAATTCATTATATACATGTGTGAAGATGCCAAAGAACAAATTCAATTAAAAAATAAAATGTGGGTGGGAGTGGCACATGCCTCTTATCCCAGCACTCAGCAGGCAGAGGTAGAGTCAGGCGGATCTCTGTGAGTTCAAGGCCAGCCTGATCTACAAAGCTACACAGAGAAACCCTGTCTCGAAACCGTCCCCCAAAAATAAAAGAATAAAAATGCATGAAGCTTAGAATGTCAAAATGTTCAGGACAAACTGAGATAAAGACCACAATTTTGAAAGAAAAGTTAAAAAGCCTGTGTACATTGGGGATAAAAGTGAAGCTTTGTCATTGAAGGAAGGTGGGTCTCAGAAGGCATGCCTGTTATGTGAGCCAAACCAATTTAAGCCAAGTTCTTAATGTTTTGTTCCATTTCAAAAGAATATTTCAGTAAGAATACTGAAGTTGAAATAAAATATATTAATCAAAATATAATTGTCATATTAATACTGAATCGCAGAAGGGGATTTTTCACCCTTTCTATTTAGCTTTTGTTTAACATTTTAGTACTAGTCCAGAACTAGTTGAAAGAAATTCTTTGCAATTGATTGTTTTGCAATGTGGCAGCCTGTCATGAAGACTTTCAAGAATCCTGCATGTGATAAAAACAGCTTTCAGCAAGTACTTTCCACTCTTCAAACCATTTGCCAATAGATTTTTTGTCTTTTTCTTTCTTTTGGTCTTTTTTTTTTTAAATCAGGGTACTTGCTGGCCAAAGCCTTTATTTTATATAATGTGCATTACTACTTGAAATCGTTTCCCTTAGTTGTAATGAAGCATACCTCAGAGGCCTGCCCCACCCATCGGAAGCACAGGAAACCAGTTCCAAGGCCTGGTTCAACTCACCTGAGAATATTAATGGTTCACCATAGGAAACATCCCATAATCAGTTTGTAAGGTTGTGTTTACTGCACAGCACAGTGGCAATGAAGAAAGTAGTATGTTCATTTATAGTTCCTCCTCTTTAATTAATCTGTTTGTTAGTTTGCTTGGTTATAGGCAGGGCCTTACGTTGTAGCTATAGAATCCAGGTTTTTCTGCCCTAACCTCCTGAGTGCTGGCCTTGCAGTGTACACCACTACAGCTGACGCTAGACCTAGTTTATGAACAATTTCTCCATCTAGTGGCTTATTTATTTCCTTATCAAAATGAGAAGTTTCACACTGAGCTCTATAATAGGCTCTATGGGGCTGAATTCCCATAACTCACTGAAAACCAAGCATGGATTAGACAATAGAGAAGCTAGTACATTGGCCTTCTCACTGCAGCTACTCTGGGATTGCCTGGCTGAGAGTGACTGGCCCAGGAGGTCACTCAGGTCAAGGAATCTCTGCAAACTTGATCCAGGTCTAGATTTTTTAATAACTCAGATACGTCATCTCTCTGCTAACTGTTAGCAAGAGTGAAGTGGATAAATAAAAAAGCAAAATGAAATGAAAATGAAAATCTCTGTATTTCACAAACCAGGATCTTTAAAAATACCCCAGACTTTAAGTCTTTACTGAAGAATTGAGTAATTCAGGCCTGATGTGTCTTTTAGAGTAAGACCTCCTGGGTGTAATGCAAGGAGAAGCTATTGAGGCTGTTAAAAACCATCCATCTTGCCGGTCCATGGTCTGGGCACATGAACAATTCTGATGCTTGGGTAGCACCCAGGAACCAGCATTTAGACAGTACTTCTGGCTTTCTGGGACCATCTGTTGGAAAAGTACTCTAAATAATCTTGATCAAATAGTCCTATTAAATCAGACTTTTTACTCAATGATAGTACTCTATGTTGTTTCTTCCAGTATTGCTGGTTGATCTATTTGAGGAGTTTTTCGATCCTGGGCAACTTCTTTCTCTGATCTTAGTTGCTGTGTTATAAATGCAAAGGCTTATTCCATCACTTAGAGTCATTTAGCAGTTTCTCTGAAAAGTCTGACAAATGACTGAATAGAAAATGATGCTCCCTCTCCCTTGATGCCTTCAGATTTGTTGTTACTGTACCCTGCATAGATATTTTGCATGTTGATATGTGTATTTTTCCATCTATGCTTATCCAGAGCTTTTATTCAAAGTCAAGTATAAATGATACTAACCCTGCTCTTGGAAGTGAAAAGAGTCTATCACCCAAATTCCCACATATTTAAAATGCATCTCTCTCTTACTGAATTTACTGCTACCAGCTGTGCAAAAATACTTATGCTTATGCCTGTACATTTTACCTTTTATTAGACTCTGATTGTGTTTTGCTGTTGTGTCTCATATACGAAAAATGTGTTTGGCTTTAAAAGCACTCACTAGTTTAATGGGAACAACAATAAACACAGTTTGTTGCATTATAGTAACTCATATCCTTGTGTATATATTAATTCACAGCATATTTGTTAGGCATCTAGTACTTGTCCTGTGGTCTGCTAGATTCTGTGTAGGCTTGGTGTCATGAAAGTGAAATGTCTGCTTGGCCCTTCATTTTGCTGTACAGATTATTTTCTATAGCTAGGTAAATGTTTCCTTAAATGTTAAATTTTTGTGGTGGCAATAAACCAACCAAAAAGACTCAAAACCAGGAAGATATACATCAGTGCATTTATTGGTGTTCTTTATCCAGTGAAGAAATATTATGTTTTTCTTTTTAATGCTTCAAACTTTTCTGCCTTTTTCTTTCTTTCTTTCTTTCTTTCTTTCTTTCTTTCTTTCCTTCCTTCCTTCCTTCCATCCTTCCTTCCTTCCTTCCTTTCTCTCTTTCTTTCTTAATGTCTATGTGTCATGCATAAATAAACAAGCACAGACACTAGGACTAAGTTTTGAAAACCAAGAGTAGACCAGCACATGGGTTGAAGTGATTTGCTTCTCTTCTGTTTCAGATGATGGGAAATTGTCCTTTGAGGAATTTAAAGCATATTTTGCAGATGGAGTTCTCAGTGGAGAAGAACTACATGAGCTCTTCCACACCATTGACACTCACAATACCAAGTAAGGAATATTTCTTACCAGTGGACTCTGTAAATGAGGTGGAGAAGAGTGTGAATGAGTCACTCAAAGACATGTAGAGGGTACATTCTGTAAAGGTTAATTCTGAAATATCCTTTACTAAAAATGCAAATGATCTAAAAATTCAATATCTTTCAAATAAAACTTCTATATTAGTTTTATGTTGTACCCTCTTCATAGAATATAAAAACAAAGGATACATGATAAATAGACCATCATTAATAAATAAGTAAAATCTTGTTGTCCATCTTTGGCATAATCTAAAATTTCTTTGTTTGAAAATTGCCCATCTGGGTATTATATTGGTATGTTGAGAAGAAATTATTGAAGTTATAAACTGAAAATCATTGCTACTTGAGAGCTACAGGTAATGTAAGGCACAGTATAGCTCTGTAAAGTTGATATATAGGGTGCTCCATTAACATCATTTATTTGGCATATGGGCCTCTCTTTTGGAGTAGGAACATTCTGTTCATATTTCCCCATGCTGAAAATATAAGGTAATGATAAGGTAATGAGGACTTTAGGATGTAGATCAACAGAAATATACTGCTTGTTTAAGGTTTCTGAACCAAATCATATTATTTTTCACAGTAACAATTATAGAAGTCTAATACAAAAGATCATGGATTCACACATGCCTGGAGACCTGCCACGATGCCTGCTGCCTGAACAATCACATTTTGCTTTAGGCAAAGCACTGACATGGTTCCAGGCAGTAAGCCAGTCTGCTAAGACAATGCTCTGCAGCTCTGTCTATGAACAAACATTTTCTTGAGGCAAACTATTTAAAAATTTAAAAGATTAAATTCACTTTACTCCAGTGGTTGAATATTTTTAAAACAATCAGTTAGTAAGTTTCTACAATTCAACAAGACTTTTAAGTTGCCTTGGCAATGCCTTCAGTATTTTGTTGTCAGAAATAGTATTAGACTCGGTAACTGATAATTTCATTATATTATCAAAAATTCTGTGTTTGATGTATTCATAGTACACTTGGGAATTGCAAAGAATGGATAGGTCAGTGTTTCTCAAGAACTGGAATATGATAAGAAAATAGAAACTGATTAGGTAAAGAAATGCAGGTAAGTGGGGAGAACATTTCAATTTAGAAAAGTTGTGGTTCAGGGGGTGGGCCTAGGCACTATCCCAAAGGACATGACAGACTCTGAAGACCCCCTAAAGAAGGCCTTACCCTCCCTGGGGAGCAGAAAAGATATGGGATATGTGGGGTGTTATTGGGGGGGCAAGGAGGAGGGAAGGCAGAGGGAACTGGCATTGACATGTAGAATAATCTTGTTTCTAATTGAAATAAAAAATGGAGAGAAAGAAAACAAAGAAAAGTTGTGGTCCAATGAATATATAGGAGACAGAGATTGGATTTGGTGTATTTTTTCGCCTTTTTTTCAGAGGGAGGGAGGACATAAGAGTTGGGGGACTGGGCCTCAAAAGACTGGAAAGGTAGTGTGATTGAGTGATTGGGGTGAATTTCCCAAATAATCAATATAAATATTATGTTGGAAATAAAATAGATATACACAAAATAAAAAAGAAAAGGCATGGAGAAAGTTCCGTATGCATGAGATGAGGGAGAGTCACTCTGCTGAAGTATTAACTATACAGTTAAACATGTAGGGGCATTAACAGAGTAAAGAACGGTCTGGATGAGAAATTATTTGTATTCTGAGTTTTTAAAAGTACTTCAACTTTATGCAAGGCAAAAGTGACATGGGCAAGAACTCCAGCAACATCTTCTAGGTCACTTTATTCTATTGAGGGACCAGCTAAAATGACAGAGGTGGAGGAAGACTGCACATCTTAGGTAAACCTTAAATGGATCCTGAGGAAATAGAACCTCCATGCACAGAAGGAAACCATTGGGAGAGAGGATGCTGAGGAGGCAGAAGCTCCCCTTGTATCTTGGGTATCCTGGTGGAAGTTGGTATACTAACACTCCATCAAGCATACTGATGAGTTCCTCCTTATTATGTCAAGTTTTAAAAGTATCTGGATTTGGAACATTTATTGAGATTTCTAGTTTTAGAATCTGGTGTCATGAATATTTTTCAATGCATATTTACTCAAGTTAAGGAGAAAGTTTTCCCTTGGTTTTATGTGTTTGATTTTGCCATTTTATTTACATTTTTCATAGTTCATATTACTTTGTATGCATCTAAGATTACTTGGTACCCAAAACTGAGATGTGTAATGATTTGGACAAGTCCAAAGAAATGTATATTACTATTGCTTGCTATCATATGCATTAGCAACAACCATGTTTTCTACCATAATTATAATCAAGTTAAAATTAAAAATATTAGAGACCTCTGAATTTATTCATGAAATTCCTCCTTAAAACAGGTTGTCAGTGTCAAGCTTTGATCTTTTGCAAAGATTAATTCAACCTTCAACATAGACATTCCAGAGATTTATTTTAAGCTTTAAAAAGAATACTTTTATATTTCCTGATCCAAGTTTGTGTTCTATATGTCAATTAGTTTTCATTTTCTAATCACTTTCTTGGGGCATAGGTTATCTTCCCAAATACTGATGCTGCCCAACAACCAAAGCTGATCTACTTTAACCATGAGCACAGCCTGAACCACAAGAAGCCAATTAATATTGGTGGGGTGGAACCAAGCCAATTAACTCTCTCCATTTACAGCAGCTCCCTGATCCTTCTCCCTTTCAATGTCTGGTAGTTGAATATTTACTTGCCCATAAGAGCAGTCTTTTAATTATCAGCCAGGTGTTGGTGGCTCACTCCTTTAATCCCAGCACTTGGGAGGCAGGCAGATCTTTGTAAGTTCAAGGCCAGCCTGGTCTACAGAGTGAGTTCCAGGACAGCCTCCAAATCAATACAGAGAAACCTTGTCTCAGAAAACCAAAAAAAGTTTAAATTCAGAGAGAAGTTTAATTATAACTTATATCTAAAGTACAGTAAAATTAATGTGTATTAAGTATCAAAGTCAGGTAAATTATTTCTTATAAAAGGGATGCCCTAGTTGAGAGAATTTTTTAATTCATTTTCAAGTCAACCTATTTACCACTGGCCCTTGTTTTTAAGGAAAGTGCCTCACATTCAACTCTATGATATAACATAAGCTTGAGCTCAGTGCTCAGAAAAAGCTCATGCTAAGGTGAATCCCACACAGCATTCTGTTTGCTTGGTGCTGTGTGAGACTTCAAGTATGGTGAATGGTTTCCCAGAAGTTGCATTCCTCATGCACCTATCATTTTGCTCAATGTAGAGATTTTAAAAGTGAAAAGAACCCTCAGTGGAAGAAGAGAAATGTGAAGGCATCATATGTTCAACTCTCTATCACTTTTTATTAATATTTTTAATTGATAGGGTTTTTATGAGGTATGAATACTCTGAATGTTTTTCTTTCTGGATTATTGTTGCATAGAGTGATTCATGGAGTATATAAAAACTGATATTTGAATTAGATTGTCTGATCAAGTGAAGATGGTAAAATTAAAAGCATTGTTAACAAAAAATGGCATTACTGAATACTAACTTCTAAAAGGAACAGTGAACAAGCTAGTATTTCAAAATAAATTAAAATTTTCTCTTCCATCTTATTAAAACCTATAATTTCAATCTCCATAATTAACTACCTTCTTTGTCGAATCTTTCTTCTTTAAGAAAAGAAAAAAATGTACTCCCCTAATGATTTCTGTTAGCCTTCTTTAATACAACCCTCTCAGCCTCAGTATATGTTTTCTAGTCACATGCTTGTTCTCTCACCTTGTCAGAAAATAAGACTTATTCAGAAAAGAATAAAGAATATTGACAATGCTATGGATACTTAAGTTTGATATAAAATAATTCTAACAGAAACTAAATCTATAGTTAGGTTCTCAGAAATGAGGGCTAGCACCCCAATGATAAACAGGAATAGAGGTAAGATTGTGAGGTCAGGGAGAGACTTTCACAGCTCACAGAGTACTTTCACTCACTAGAAAGCCAGCATAGCTGGATTTTGCCATCAGTTGGATGAAAATGAGAAAATTTAGCATAAATCCTTGAGGTATTAGTCATAGCAGAAGCATGGGAGAAAGTCTCCCTAGAGACCTAAAGCAATTCTGCCAGTGAACTGCACTTAGGAGCACCAGATTGTCAGGGTAGACCAAATGGTAGACCAGATGGAAGTTTTGCTCATGATGCAGAAAGTGAACACAAAGAAAAGTAACACAAAGAAAGGCTCTCAGAAAGGGGCTCATGACTAGAAACTCATACGTTCAAATAGAAGATTCTTTGTTCCAGACTAAAATAGTTTTTTGGATGCTGAGCACTGATATTTCAACCCTGTGCTTGTTAACTCACTGATGCTCACCAGAGTGACAGAAATATCACCAAGTACTAAAATGAGTTAGCTCTGGAAACGAAAACACTCTTTCCTATACTAAACTGATTTTTCTCTTTCTTTCTCTCTCTCTGATTTCCACTTAGTGTGCTCCTTAGGGCCATCCAGAATATGAATATTTTATGACATGTCTCTACAAAATTGGAAAGCAGTTTTTATGAACCAATGATGAGATTAAAATCCCATAATAATTAGAGAGTAATTATATCAATGGGTTTGTTTCAGATGGCAGAGTTATGCTTTTTCTGAAATAGAAAAAGTTCTTTAGCCTATATTTATGCATGATGTTAATTCCTAAAGTATGATGAGTTGGTTGATAATGTTACTGTCTTGAGTTAGTAATGACACTGCTTAAAGGGAGACATTTGTTGTGAGGAGCAAGAAAAGAAGGTGGAGGTCAATATCATGAGGTAAACACTGGGCCATTCATTCTGAAGTATATGCAATATAGTTGTGCATGGTACTGTGGTTAGAAAGTTCATTGTTATTGTAATTACAACTGAAACCAATCTCCTTGTTAGTGTAGCCTATATCACCTTCAACCAGAATTGAGGGTGTAGGAGGAACAACCACAAATTTAGTAGAGTCCACAATCCCAGATGTTAGTTACAA